TTTCGGGCCCAGCCCCCATCTGGCTGCAGCATTATAACACTCTGGCACCCCACACACACCCCAACACTGAGCCCATCACACTCCTGCACACCCCAATATCCTGCCCTGAGCCCCTCATACACTCCAGCCCAGACTTCTGCCCCCTATATTTCCAGTCCCTTGCCAAAAGTTTGACAGAAGACAGTCTGAATGCATGCATGAACCTGGATTTGACCAGTTATAATGTAAACTTCAAAGAACTGTGATTTGAGACTCCTTTGTGAGGGGGACGGAGGTACCCATCTGCTGCCCTGACATGTCATCTTGGGAGGTATGCTGCCTGCCATGGGCCCGTATCCTTGATGTTAGGAAGGAATTGTTGAGGATTATCCAGCCCTCTGACTACTACCACATGCTACTCATCCATGTGGGCACAAATGACACTGCAAGGTATGACCTTGAGTGGATCAAGAGTGACTACAGGGTTCTGGGAGTATGGGTGAAGGAGTTTGGAGTGCAGGTACTGGTCTTTTTAGTCCTTCCTGTCAAAGGTCGGGGCCCTAGACAGGTGCATCCTAGCAGTGAATGCCGGGTTGTAAAGATGGTGTTACCAAGAGGGGTTTGGCTTCCTTGACCATGGGATGCTGTTCCAAGAAGGATGGCTAAGCAGGGATGGAGTTCACCTTTTGAGGAAGGGAAGAGAGTATTTGGACACAGACTGGTTAACCTAGAGAGGAGGGCTTTAAACTAGATTCGATGGGGGCAGGTGACCAAAGCCCATAGGTAAGTGAAAAACATGGAGACCTGGGAGATGGATCAGAAATGGAACAGAGGAATGGGCTATAATAGCAGAGAGAGAGGAGGGGGAAGGCAGAACTGGGAGGCAAAATCAAATCAGTATCTTAGATGCCTATGTACAAATGCAAGAAGTATGGGGAATAAGCAGGAAGAACTTCATGTGCTAGTAAATAAACACAGCTATGAAATAGTTGGTATCACAGACTTGGTGGGATGCGACCTGGGAGATGGATCAGAAATGGAACAGAGGAATGGGCTATAATAGCAGAGAGAGAGGAGGGGGAAGGCAGAACTGGGAGGCAAAATCAAATCAGTATCTTAGATGCCTATGTACAAATGCAAGAAGTATGGGGAATAAGCAGGAAGAACTTCATGTGCTAGTAAATAAACACAGCTATGAAATAGTTGGTATCACAGACTTGGTGGGATGCACATGATTAGAATATTGCTATAGAAGGGTACAGCTTGCTCAGGAAGGATAGGCAAGGAAAAGGGGAGGAGGTGTTGCCTTCTATATTAAAAATGAATACACTTGTACCGAGGTGGAGATGGACATAGAAGTCAGACTTGTTGAGAGTCTCTGAATTAGGTAAAAAAAATAAGGGCGATGTCATGCTAGGGATCTATTACAGACCACCTACCCAGGCAGAAGAGGTGGATGAGGCCTCTTTTTTTTAAACTAACAAAATTATCCAAAGCACAGGATTTTGTGGTGATGAGGGACTTCAGCTATCCAGACATATGTTGGGAAATTGACATAGCAGTGCACAGATCATCCAACAAGTTCTTGGACTTCATTGGAGACAGTTTTTTATTTCAGAAACTACTAGAGGAAAAGCTGTTCTTGATTTTAACAAGTAGGAAGGAACTGGCTGAAAATTTGAAAGTGGAAGGCAACTTGGGATAAAGTGACCATGAAATCATAGCATTTGTGATGCTAAGGAGTGGTAGAAGGGAGAACAACAAAATAGAGAGTATGGATTTCAGGAAAGCAGATTTTAGTAAACTCAGAGATCTGGTAGGTAAGGGAACTAAGATGAAGAGGAAAACAGCTGAAGCGAGTTGGCAGTTTTTTAAAGGACATTACTAAGGGCCCAAAAGCAAACTCTTTTTCTGCATAGGAAAGATAAAAAGTATGGCAGGAGACCACCTTGGATCAACCAGGATATCTTACATGATGTAAAAGTAAAAAAGGAGTCTTATAGAAAGTGGAAGCTAGGTCAGATTACAAAGGATGAATATAAGCAAACAACACAGGTATGCAGGGGCAAGATTAGAAAGGCAAAGGCACAAAAAGAGCTCAATCTAGCTAGAGTCATAAAGGAGGCAGAAGATGATCTACAAGTATATTAGGAGCAAGAGGAAGACTAAGGACAGGGTAGGCCCATTGCTCAGTGAAGAGGGAGAAACAATAACAGCAAACTTGGAAATGGCAGAGGTGCTTAATGACTTATTTGTTTTGGCTTTTGTCAAAACAGATGGTGACAGGGTACCAGTATAGTGAATGCTAGTGGAAATGGGGTAGGATTAGAAGTTAAAATAAAAGAGCAAGTTAAAAATTACTTAGAAAAGTTAGATGTCTGCAAGTCACTGGGGCCTTATGAAATGCTTCCTAGAATACTCAAGCTGATAGAGGAGATATCTGAGCCCTTAGCTATCATCTTGAAAAGTCATGGAAGTTGGGAAAGATTCCAGAAGACTAGAGAAGGGCAAATATAGTGCCCACCTATAAAAAGGGAAATAGGAACAACCCAGGAAACTACAGACCAGTCAGTTTAACTTCTGTGCCAGGGAAGATAATAGAGCAAGTAATTAAGGAATTCATCTTCAGACATCTGAAAGAAAATAAGGTGCAAGGTAACAGCCAGCATGGATTTGGAAAGAACAAATCATGTCAAGTCAATCTGATAACTTTTTTCGGTAGGATAACAAGTCTTGTGGATAAGGGAGAAGCAGTGAACATGGTATACTTAGACTTTAGCAAGGCATTTGACATAGTCTTACATGATCTTCCTATCCATAAACTAGAGAAATACAATTGCAAACTAGATGGGGCTACTAAAAGATGGGTGCATAACTAGCTGGATAACTGTTCTCAGAGAGTAGTTTTTAACAGTTCAGTCATGCTGGAAGGGCACAGCAAGTGGGGTTCTGTATGGATCTGTTTTGGGACTGGTTCTGTTCAATGTCTTCATCAGTGATTTAGATGATGGCTTACAGAGTACGCTTATTAAGTTTGAAGATGACACTAAGCTGGGAGGGGGGGGTTGCAAGTGCTTTGGAGAATAGGGTCATAATTGAAAGACCTATAAAAAGGGAAATAGGAACAACCCAGGAAACTACAGACCAGTCAGTTTAACTTCTGTGCCAGGGAAGATAATAGAGCAAGTAATTAAGGAATTCATCTTCAGACATCTGAAAGAAAATAAGGTGCAGAGGTAACCCCATGCCCAACTGTGAGCACCAACCCTCTGCCTCTACCCTAAGCTTCCCCGCCCCCAACCCAGAGCCTCCCCCTACACCCCAGACCTCATCCCCACAGAGCCCACACTCTAAAGATGTAATTATGCTGGGTCGCAAGCATCAAACATTTTCTTCACCTGGATCGTGAGGCTCCAGGACACACTGACACACCTAAGACCAGAACAAGGTACGCCTGCAGAGGCCATGAAAGTTCTGAACGGTAATGATTAATGGTTCTCAGTCATGCTGGAAGGGCACAGCAAGTGGGGTTCTGTATGGATCTGTTTTGGGACTGGTTCTGTTCAATGTCTTCATCAGTGATTTAGATGATGGCTTACAGAGTACGCTTATTAAGTTTGAAGATGACACTAAGCTGGGAGGGGGGGGTTGCAAGTGCTTTGGAGAATAGGGTCATAATTGAAAGTGATTTGGACAAACTAGAGAAATGGTCTGAGGGAAACAGGATGAAGTTTTCTAAGGACAAATGCAAAGTGCTCCACTTAGGAAGGAACAATCCGTTTCACACATACAGAATGGGAAGTGATTGTCTAGGAAGGAGTACTATTGAAAGGGATTTAGGGGTCATAGTGGATGGCAAGTTAAACACGAGTCAACAGTGCGATGCTGTTGCAAAAAAAGCAAATATGATTCTGGGATGCATTAACAGGAGTGTTGTGAGCAAGACACAGGAAGTCATTCTTCCGCTCTACTCTGCAGTGATTAGCCTTCAGTTGGAGTATTGTGTCCAGTTCTCGGTATCACATATCAAGAAAGATGTGGAGAAATTGGAGAAGGTCCAGAGAAGAGCAACATGACCTGTGAGGGAAGACTGAAAGAACTGGGCTTGTTTAATTTAGAAAAGAGAAGATTGAGAGGGGACATGATAGTGGTTTCCAAGTATCTAAAAGGGTGTCACAAGGAGGAGGGAGGAAAAATTGTTCCCCTTGGGTCTGAGGATAGGGCAAGAAGCAATGGGCTTAAATTCAGTTTAGGTTAGACATCAGGAAAAACTTCTTACCTATGAGGGTGGTTAAACACTGGAATAAATTGCTTAAGGGGGTTGTGGAGTCTCCATCGCTGGAGATATTTTAGAGCAGGTTAGACAGACACCTATCAGGGATGATCTAGACAGATCTTGGTCCTGCCATGAGGGCAAGCAACTGGACTCAATGACCTCTCAAGGGCCCCTCCGGTTCTAGTGTTCTATGATTCTATGATATGAAAAGATGCAGCAGAAGTCCCATTAAAGTCTGAGTACAATGGTTCATTTGTGCTATCAGTAATAATGTCAATTATGAATAATATTAAGTTTTACATTTTTGGTTATGCATATGGGCATTCTTATACAGCTCTTTGTTGACCACTTGTTCTGAATTTTGATGTAGTTTGGTTTGTAAAAGTTGCTGACCCCTGCTCTATTGTACACTGTTCCTGGGATAGTGGATTCCAGTAGTGTTGATGAGCTTAGCTGTTAATCACTGTCTGGTTACTCTACTGTTGTACCTGAAAGGCTGGTTGTGGGTGTTGCCAACCTCACAACATATTTCATTAACACACACAGCAAAACTTAACTTCACATAAAATGATAGTGCATACAATCTACCTAGATATTAATGTTCATCAGATCAAGACTTTTTTGAAAAAAGACTTTATATGGTGCAGGATATTGCTTTGGGATACAGAGTGTCACAAATGGTAAGTCTAAAATTTGTGTCTGGCAACCTTATTTTTTTAATCTGTTTACAATTACTTATTTACAGGTGAAGCCAAAAATTTAGTGCCATATGCTGGACCCAACAAAATGAGAGACTGTTTCTGTACCATAAACTTGGACCAAGAAGAAGTTTTTCGTACACAGGTGGTTGAAAAATCTTTAAGGTACATTTGCATATTTAGATATACGTTTCAGTGAAATTACTTCAGAACTCTGCAAGTTGGGTATATTGTGGTGGGTGTCTA